GCCTCCTCCCCTCGCCAGCGCTCGCTCCCGCACCCCCCCGCACCCCCCACCGTCCCCTCCGCCCTCCCTCTCTGCAGCTGCTGGGGGAGCTGAGCCTCTCGCAGCAAAACGACATTTCCTTTTCGAGTAGCCCCGGGAATTCTGGGTAGTGTAGTTCCGCTCTGTATCGGGTTCAGGGGGCCTGCTGCTCCCCATGCCCTTTGACCTCCACGGGCTCCCGGCTCTGTAAAAAGGGCCGCAGTGCCCCGGGGGGTGGGGGAGGACCTGGCTGCGGGGGTTTCTGGGAGGATCCAGGGCTGGGAAGGTTAGGGTGATGGGGAGAGAAATTTGGGGGGACTTGGTCCTGGGGTTACCCAGCCGAGAAGCCTGTGCAAGTCAGCCACCAGGGAGGGAAGCCTGCTGTGATGTCAGCTCGCAGAGGAGGAATCCAGAGCTGGGTCACCGCATCTGCCCACTGCACCACCCTGGCAGGTGTCCACGGAGACGGACCCCGGGGTCTGAGCACAGAATCACAGGGGTTTGGGGAGGGCCATGGTGCTTTCTAAACAGCCTCCTGCCAGCAGTGCCCCCAGGCCCAGGGATCTGAGCCATCAAAAGACATGTCACACCCGTGTAAGTTTGGAGGTCCCGCACCTCCTGCCATGGTGCTCACCTCTACAGATGCCTGGCACAGGCCTGCGGGGGGCGGTTCCAGCCACTACAGGGTCCCTCCCAGGGCCACAGCCAGCCAGGCTGGATGATCATGTAGTGGAAACACCAGCCCAGCCACAGCACGGGACGTGGCCAGCCCCGCCGTTGGCCTGTGTCCCTGTCTGGGGCCATCCTTCTGTCATCTGGTAATAACTTTTTCCCAGTCCTCAGACACAGCCCAAGACTGTCAGGGTGGCAGATGGCACAGGGTGGCCTTGGACTGTTCTCTGTCAGAGGTAGAACCCAGACCGCACCTGGGTCCCCATGGAGACCTCCATTACTGGGACGCAGCCTCCCCTGGCCCCTTTGCCCACAGTGACCTCTCCCCGACTTGAACTCATGGCCCCACAAAACATCCTGCCCCTCTGGGGCTCCCTGCAGCCATGGAGTCGTGATTACATGCAAGGAAGATATCAACTTCCAGAGTGTGTACGTCACTTCCTGTCCCTCATCCCCCCCAAGGGCCTAGAAAGGAGCAGACCCCCCTGGCCAGGTGAGTCCTCAAGGGTGGGGATGCCACTCAAGTTCAAAGGTGCCCATGTGCCCTGAAGGTCCTTGGGCTGGGTTCCTCTCACGCCAGCTGGGAGTGGGAATACCTCGGGCCCTGGGCTCGACCTGGGTCGAAGCTAAAGCCCTGCTCAAGCCAGCCTTTGACCTTGACCTTGACCTTGGCAGGTCAGACAGAGAAACCTGGGGTGGGAGGACAGCAACTTCTCAAGAGTCTGCATCCCAGTCGGATCCATCCAGCCCCAAAGCCCACACTCAGCTCCCCCGGGGCTTGCTGCCTGACCCCCAGGACGTCCATCCCAGAGGGGTCCACAGGTGGGTGAGGACCTGCCCAGTGGAAGACCCCGCCGTCCCGCCCTCCAGCCAGGCTCTGCTTTGGCCTGCAGGGATGTCTAAAGCAGGAGTCCCAGACTCCGGTCTGAACTCCCTGGTCCCCACCTCTTCTGGCCAGTCTGGCCATGAGCCCCAGCGGCTGGGCCATCCCTGTGCAGTCCCCCAAGGTGCAGACCACTGCCCCCCCACGGACCAACCTGCACTCAGGGTCACAACAGGTCCTCCGAGGTCTCATCCCCTCTGAAGAGGGGGTCACCCTGTAGCCTGAAAAGCATTTTGCAGGAGGGAAAAGTCCACTCCACCACCGACAGATATGTTAAATCCTGGAGTTCTGTTGCCCTGGGAAACACAGTTCTCTCCCCAATTGTTGGGGACCAGAGGGAGAGCCAAGGGCGAGGCTTGGAATGCTGACCTGAGAGGTGGTGGGCGTGGCCCGGGCAGCAGGTGGCTGAGGGGAGGTCCAGAGGCCTCTCCTCCGCAGGGGAAGGGGCAGGTGGTAGAAGCGCTGGTCTCACAGGCTGCCCTTAGAGGGGGACGGAGGCCAGCAGAGTCATCGAGGGAGGTCGCCAAAGCTACACCCCAAGTGGCCTGGCCCCCAGCTCAACCAGACGTCATTCTCCACTGCAGGGCGGTGGTGTGGTGTGGGGATAGCGGGGGCTCTGGGGGCCCAGGCAGGTCCACCCCACATCCTCCAGGGCCTGCTGGGCTTGGGCTGTTTGGCCGCCTCCTGTTGCCCTCGAGGACATTTGTCGTCCACCACTAACAGGACACCCGGGCTGGGCTGTCACTCGGAGGCCCTGGGGACACCGCCTGGCCTCGGCCACAGTGAGCATCTCACCGTGGTCAGTCCAGGAGCGACGGTCAGTGTGTGAATTCGCATAAATAACCAGTGTGGACCGTACCGTGTGGTTGGCAGAGGCAGCAGCGGGGGTGTCCGGGTGGGGGCTGGGGGTGCAGGTCAAAGGCTGGGATGTGCACTGGGAGGGTTCACGAGTGTGTGTGCACGTGTGTGGGCTGATGGTACGTCCCCGTGGGTGTGCGGTGTGTGGCTCGCCAGTGGGCAGCAGGTGCCCGGGCCCCCCGAGGGCAGTGCGGGTCCCCATAGCTGGCCCCACCCGCGCTCCGGGGTGAGGAGCCACACGCAGGCGCTGGGAGGATGGCGCTCGAGCGAGGCAGCAGGCAGGCGCAGCCTGGTCAGTGCGGCGCTGGGAGTTCTCCAAGGTGCTAAAATAAACCCAGCAAGGGATCAGGTTTCCCGACCAAAATAACCCAGGAGCGGCCTTTGAACAGCCAGCGAGGCAAGGGTGAAAAGTGCCCTCCTGGGGCTCCCGCCTCTCCGGGCAGGCGGCCGACGCTCCCGCTGCCTCTTGCCCACATCCCTCCCCTCTCTTCTGAGTTTCTGTGCCAAGTAATGGGCTCTCCTGGCCATCAGCCTTCGGGGAGCAGGCAGTGGACTAGAGCCAGGCTCTGGGATCAGACGTTTACTCAGCATTTAGTAAGTGCCTACTGCATGCCCGGGCCCAGCCTGGCTCCTGCCGCCCCTCCTGGGGCCTTCACCACGGTTATTCTGAGCCACGGAGTAAATCGGCGAGGCCTCTTGTGTGTCTGAGAGCGACAGGGACCACAGAAGGGAAATCCATTAGGTCACCAGGGGAAGGGACAGGGATGATGTCAGGACCCAGGGGTCCCAGCTGGCTCACAGAGTCCTGTGACCTCGCGGTCAACCGGCGAAGCCATGCAGCGGGGGACGGAGGCGCCACGGGATGCAGGGCAGGAGGAGGCAGGCTAGCTCAGGACAGGGTCCGGCCGTGGGGTCTGCCGGAGTGTCCCCACCCATCCGCGCTGCAGCAGGAAGAGGGTGGCTGGGCTTCCCCTGTCCCCAGAACTCTCCAGGGTCCCTTCCTGCTTCCCTATGTCTGGGCTGTCCAGCAGGTGGCCGGGTGACCCACGGGGACACCCACATCTGCCACTTGTCACTTGGGCCACTTGTCTGCATTCTGCTCTGCTGCCCTGCCAGCCCCCAGCCTGGGTGTCTCGGGGCAGAAGTGCTCCGCCCTGCAGAACACGGCAGTCACAAAGTGACGGAGCCACACGGCCAGCAGCAGAGGAGGGGTCTGCCCTGCGGCCCTTCCCAGGACAAGGTGACAGGAAGTCACTGAAGAATGAAGGTGTTGCCACGGGAACAGGCCCACGTTTAGTGTTAGGTAAAATGTGTAAGTTATATTTTTTAAGGGATGTATAATGTGATCACATTTTTGAATGAGTATCTGTGTGTATGAGTAAACGTGCCATACACAGATAGTGTGTTTATATATATTGTTTTCTGATTATTAAAAGAATACTTAGTCGACATAAAATATAATAATTGGAAATGAGATAAACAAGAATACTTTATAACCTGACCACCTTGTGCTAACTGTACTGATTTCCAAGTGGTGGGATTACACCTACATTATCTGCATTTATTGAATTTCTTTTTTCTTTTTTGTACCAGGAATCGAACTCAGGGCCTCGTACTTGCCAGGCAGGCACTGTGCTGCTGAGCTACATCCCCTGCCCTTTACTGAATTCTTTTTTTGAGACAGGGTCTCCCTATGTAGTTGAGACTGACCCGGAACTCACTATGTAGACCAGGCTGGTCTTGACCTCACAGCGATCCTCCTGCCTCAGCCTCTGGAGTGCTGGGATGACAGGCATGCGCCACCACACCTGGCTTTTATGGAATTTCTTATAGTAAGTAATAACTTTTTTTTTTCACACAGGGTCTCACTGTGTAGCTCAGGCTGGACTCAGATTCATAGTGATCCTCCTGCCTCAGCCTCCTGAGTGCTGAAATCACAGGTGTGTACCACCAAACCCAACTAGTAGCAACATTTTAGTAGTAAGGAAAAATAGGGTATTGACTAACATTATACTATCTGATAAACTAGTATTTGATAAACCAGACGTGTGTGTCCTGTCTCCCCAGCTAGCCTGAGGGAAGAGATCAATGAAAGGATTAATTGAATGAATGAAGGTGGAGATGTTGAGGACAGGGCTGTGGCCCATGGTGGGCGCTCCTGAGGGTTTATAGATGAAAATTGCTTTAACTTCTCAGCCACCTGGGAAGGAGACCAGGTCGTCCCAGCTTACCGAGGACTGCAGCAGCAGGTCCCAGGTCACAAGCACATGCATAAAGCCTCCCACCGGCCGTTCCTATGGCCTTTCTTGAGCCAAACCGGACCCCGGGGCCCTCCCCAGAGCTCACTGGCCACTCTGGCCAGACCGAAATGCTGACCCAGGCCTCTGGGTATTAATAGCCCCATGCAGGCTGGGCTCCTCACCCCACCAAGGCCAGCCAAGGTCATGGCCAAACACACTCGGGCCCTGTGGCCTTGAAGGAGCCAAGGCTGAGGCCCGCCTGTGCCCACCCTGGGGACCAGGAGGAAGGGGTGCTCTGTTCTTTCCAGTTTCCTGGCTGGACCCTTCACCCCTCAGAACCTCAGCTTCGTCATCCGTCAGTGGAGGTGTCGCAACCACTACCCAGGTCCTTTTGTCCTCACATCACGTTCCCACACCCGCTGGCACCCCAGAGGCAGGATGCCATGCAGTCGGGGACTTGGCCCTCGGTGGCTGCTCTGGCTGGAAGAGGAAGAGGAGGAATGGGGTGTGCCTGGCCCTGAATACCCTGCAGAGGGGTGCAAGGAACCTCTGTCCGAGCCCGCCTGGACTCTGGCTTCACCCTGCCAGGGATGCGGCGGGGTCTGGACCATGAGGACCTCTCTCTGGAAGAGAACCTGGTGTGTCTGCATCGGTGAGATCAATTCCTAATCAGGTTTACAAACATCTAGCCTCATACCTCTAACAGGTGGGCACTACTGTGCCCATGCTACAGGTGAAGAAACCGAGGCAGAGGACCATGGTGTGACTTGTTCAAGGACTCTCGACCCCAGGCAGCTTCTGGTCCTGCAGGCTGTAGGTTAGGCCTGGGGTAATCCCGAAAGGGGCACCCAGGTAGCTGCAGGGAGACCTGTCTCGAGTCCCAAATCCACGGCAGGGTCCCCTCCTGCACCGTCCTCTTGGGGCTGCAGCCTCCCCGCCATCTGGAACGGGGTCACAGTCCTCCTCCGCACAGGTCCCGCCCTCCCCGCCTGCTCTCCCTTCCTGCCAGATCTGCAAGAATCTGCACAGCTGCATTTCTGTCACTTGTGTGGTCCCCACTGAACTGGGGGCCCCCGGGACATAGGGAGGGCGCCAGCTCCACCGTCCACGGCCTAGCCAGCTCCGAGCACGGTGCCAGGTGTGCTGTAACTATTTCTGGGTTGCCCCAAGCTGCTGTAGTGCTTCTGCCCTTTGCAAAGCTTGCAGATCCATCACCAACCAATTAATTACCCCCGTCATGGAGATCAAATTCACAGACTGCTGTTCAGCGGGCGGTGATGATGCATGACCCCGAGTCCAAGATGGATTGAAAAAGCAGGCAAGCCCAGCCTGCCGGCCTGATGAAGCGCTGCCACCCAGGGAGGCCCTGGCCCGGCCCCAGGGACCCAGAGTAGGATGCTCTCGGTGACGTCACCAGCTTTGTCCAGTGCCCGGCAAGGCCTTGGCCAGGACTCCACCCTCTCAAGCCCACAGCCCCACTGGGTCCACACTGCCAGAAGGGGGGCGGCAGGCTGGGCTCCCAGGGGCCCAGACTGCTCAGGGGGGCAGCTGGCAAAGGCGGGGTCAACCCAGAGCACATCTCTGCCTAGGCCAGAGGCCAGACCCCAGCTGAGTCCCCAGCCGCAGGACTACATTTCCCAGCGTCCTCTGAGGCAGGGGCAGCCATTGGCAGATTTAAATAGCCCAGGCCCAGGCAGCCAGGGGCTGGACTCCTCCACCTCCCTGAGGCTGCGTTGCTGCCCGCCCCACACCGGTGGGCTCCATTGGCTGCCACTGACGTCCCAGTGGAGCCGGGTGACGGCCGAGGTAAACAGCCATGTGCAATCCTCCTGTCTATATTTAACAGCTGCTGCAGGGAAGACAGCTCGGTGGCCTTCGTCTTCGGGGACACGGCCCAGCCTGGGAGCCGGGCTGGCACCGGCCTTCTGGGGTGATCGAGCAGGGGCAGCATGCCAGCTTCCCAGAGCCGGGCCCGCGCCCGGGACCGCAACAACGTCCTCAACCGGGCCGAGTTCCTGTCCCTGAGCCAGCCCC